GCATCAGGGTGGCGGTGGAGGGGGTGGGTCTAAACCAAGATTAATGGGATTTGAGTTAATCAGGCTCCAGGGAAACTTCAGGTACTTGAAAGCATCTTTTCCTCACCTGTCTGTTCCAGGCTCTTTCCTTACCTCTAAAGCACCGAGAGCAGTGAACCAACTGTTCCCTTGCAACTGAGCGCCCTCCAAGATCCAGCCTTTTACTTATTCTTGCTCTGTGTCCTGATTTGGCCTCTATTGCCCTTCCCCGGGGAAATTTAGTAGCTCCTAGTTTCCAGATAGGTGAGAAGATGGACCCTTGAATGTACCTGGAGCTCTTAACTGCAAGTTGAAATTGAAAAGGCTTCTGAGTGAAAAAGAAAGAAAGAGAAAATGACTGAGGGTATGGGAGGATATTGTAAGACAGACCCAAGGACGAGGGTAAAAGAAAGGAATTAACTGAGCAGTTCCTGCGACAAAAATTGGCAATAACCATTCCCTGGGGAGAGGGACGACAGAAAAGAGGAGACTCAGGGCAGGATTTTTGGCAACAATCCGAGGTAAAACTTTCCTCTCCTGTTATTCTGATTGTTTTATATTAAATTAGGATTGCTAGATAAAACATAGGATGCCCAGTAAAAATTTCAATTTCAGATAAACGATACTTTTTAAAGTATACATATGTCCCAAGGTATGTAGACATACTTATACTCAAAAAGTATTCACCGTTTATCTGAAATTCAAGTTGAATTAGGCATTCTGTATTTTTATTTGCTAAATCTGGTGACCTGACGGTAAGCCATGGGAGCCCAACTTGTGAAACAGGACTTTTGACCTCTTAGTTTTCTTTCTTGGAAGATGGTTGAATTTTCTTTTCTTTATTCACTCTTCTTGTCCTGCAGGTCTACCTAATATTGTATCATTATGTTAAAAAATAGGGGCCGGTCCCATGGCCGAGCGGTTAAGTTCGTGTGCTCCACTGCAGCGGCCCAGGGTTTTGCCAGTTTGGATCCTGGGCATGGACATGGCACTGCTCATCAAGCCACGCTGAGGTGGCGTCCCACATGCCACAACTGGAAGGACCCACAACTAAAAAATGTGCAACTATGTACCAGGGGGCTTTGGGGAGAAAAAGGAAAATAAAATCTTTAAAGAATAGACCCAGTTTACATTAGCACCAACAGAATAGAAGAGTGTTTATTTCCCTCTATCCTTATCAATGTCAGATATTAGCAGCCTTTTAATTTTTGCTAATCTTCAGGACAAAACGTTTGAGAATTGCTGGTTTAGAGCACTTCTTAAATGAGAGAAGCTTTTCTTTTGGGATGCCTGGAATCAAAGTTCTGTTTAAAAAGAATTTTAAATTTTATTTTATATTGTAGAAATTTGTACAATGAAATGTAATGACTTAGAACACATTAGCTGTTTTTAAATTCCAACAGCGAATTTCCCTGCTACTTCTGACAAAACTGATCTTTTTTGTGCATACTCATGTCAAACTCAAGAATTTCAAATTAGCTTTAGCAAAAGCAAATATTTACATTTAAAAAGAAAACATCTGAACTCAGAACTCATGAAGATAAAAAAGTTTAATAACTGAAGATGTCTTATTAGTTGATGTCGCTAACGGCAACATCTAGGTCACATAACTTATATTGACTTAAAACAGCGTTCCCACTAGCTTTGTGTAACCATATACACAATTATTGCAATAAAGGATTAAAAAAAGAAACGCCTAGTCTCCATATTTCCACAAAAAAACTGTTGAAAGAACAAATTTCTGCTCAGTTGTTTTTTCCTTTGTCTAAAAAAAAAGTGTCAGGCACCCCACCCCACCCCACTGCTGGTGACAGTCAACCACTGATTGTTCCTGAACGGAACACAATCATTCGCGCCTAGGAAAACAATTGCAATGAATGGGATCTTGGTCTCTACTAAAAATAAAAAATGGCTAAAAAGAGACTTTAACTTATTTTCAAGTTTTATGGCTGAATTCCTATAACTCCTAACTGGTCAAAATATTGGCAAGCTACTAGATTTTACTTAGAGTCAAATTTACTTCTTTGGTGTCTGCCCAGAAGTGCCATTGAGGCTATTTGTGGCTAGCTTTTTAAGAGACCAAAAGTACCTCAAATGGAATGAGTGTCAACACTGATGTATAACACACAAGGAAAGGCAGGAGAGAGAATTGAGTACTTTTATTTTTTTGAACAACTAAGTATAACCAATTTTTACTTTAAAGTTTCAATATTTGGCAAACCAAAACTGTTACTTCTCAAAATGACCAAAAATACAGCTGAACACTGTCTTTGTATTTTGATGTTAAACCAGGAATTATATATCTTATCAAAATTCTTATCTAATCAACTAATTCTATCAACCTCACCAAATACAATCGCCCTCAATGTAGACATACTCAATGGCCTTCTTTCCTCAAGCTTAACCAGCCCTAGCTAATTAACCCTCTAGAAACCAATACAGCCCCCAAAGTGATAAACCCCTACCCCCAAGCATCCCCAACCACCTAGTCAGCCAGTGGCCGTGATCCAGGAATCATCCATGACACAAACGTCACTGTCGCAGAGACCAATCATCTTTCAATGTCCATTTTTCATTTCTCCCTTTCACTGATAGAAACCCCTAAATTTTAACTGAGCACATGGCTTCCCAGCTAGACACTGTATTTCCCATCATCCTTTGCATCTGGGTGTGGCCATGTGACTAAATTCCAATGGGATTGAGTGGAAATGAGGTTTTTCAATGTCCAGGTCAAATCCTTCAGAAAAAACTGTCCACGCCCTCTATGTCCCCCTTTCTTTGGGCTGGAATGTTTGAAATAAAGTGGTGAATCAGCCTTGATTATTTGCATGAGGACAAGAGCACAGGAGAGAGCAGAGCGAAAAGAGGGAAGTGGGCCCTGGGTCGTCCTGTAGAGCAGCGCAGCCCGCGTGCCTTGGGCTGTCTCTTCTGGCCTCAGACGCCAGTGTAACAGGACCATCCAACTAAAACCTTTTCTCTGACGCTGAAGATTTTAGCAAGATGCATAAAGGTTTTAAAATATCAAGCTTCCTCCTATGGGCTGGAAATCCCAACGTGAAGGAAGACAAACAAGCAAAACAACTCGGACACCGAACAACCTGCTCAGCCTCGGTTTCCAATGTAACCAACCCGCAAAAGGAGAAGTTTTCCTTTAAATTGTCTGTTTAAAATTTGGTTGGAAAGTAAAGTGGCCTTTCACTACGTATCTGAAATCCTGGTGGTCAATTTTTCTTTTTTTATAAACAATTTAGAGCATGAACTCTTCTCAGTTAAACTAAAAATATCCCATAAATCTATAAAGCCACTGCCTTAAAATGACTTAAACAAGGATAATTATGGCTATTAAAAACATCGTAAATTCCATTTGGTTGAGAGTAGCTAATAAAACAAAACCCACAAGCAAGGTGTTCCCTTGTACCTACAGTTGTGATACAGCGTCTGCCTGTCCCACGGGTCAGACCCCAAGGTGTAGCCAACCACACAGGGGCTCTGGAGGTCTCAGCACTTTCCAAGTCCGTGTTACTCGGATGTTGAAGCCTGCAGTGAACCTGCAGGGACAGAAGCTGGTCCCCAGTATCCCTGTTACAGTCCAGGAAGGTGAAGTCACCTGACTCTTCCTGTGGGAACTCTGTCCCCTTAGAGGTGAGCAGTGGCGAGAGACCAATGAGGAACGTTAGAGTTATGGCCTACTCAAACTGAATCTGGACTGTAAATATGCGTGGAGGAGGAGCCTTTAGCAAGCCCTATGGGCCATGACCACAGACATTTAACACCTGTGGGACGAGTCAGACTGTTATTAAGCCTCAGTATTTTCAAACGGATGGCGAACCAGCTTTGAACTTGGTGGTTCCTGCAGCCCCCGTGCATGTCCTTGAGTTTGGTGAAAGGGATTAATTAAAGCATCTGCCCCAGTTGCCTCGTGAGACTTGGGATTTTCCACCAGAAGATTCGGTTGTGCACTTTGAGGCCTATTTGCAAGAGCTGGTGAAGTGGAGGAATGCAAATGTTTCACTAGTGGGGGAGTCAATTCCGCTCCAAAGTGGGTTTCATGCCATCACCAGGAACGTTATTAGAGAGCCCGAGAATAACTTAGGGACATTTGGTTGCAGCCCATTTCATCAGAAATGAACGTGAGTGAGAATTAAAGGTGAAGAATGAGTTGATCACTTTATCAAAAAATTCGTAATGCCACAATATCTAAACTTAACATTTATTGCCCATAGTTCAAAGTCCTATGATAGCTCTTTCATTGAGCTAGCAGTTGTTTGAGAAGATTGTCCTGGTTGTCACGAGACAGGCTGGGCAACAGACACATACGGAGATAAAAATTTCAAGAAACTATTTTGTTGACTCTTTTATTTTCTCCTAATGTAGCTGAGTAAATTTCTACAGGCAATGGAGCTCTCTAGGAGTAAGTGGCAGTTCTTATATTAAAAACAATACAATGTATGGGCTGGCCCCATGGTGTGGTGATTAAGGTTGGTGCACTCCACTTTGGTGGCCCAGGTTCATAGGTTCAGATCCCGGGTGTGGACCTACACCACTCATCAGTCATGCTGTGGTGGCAACCCACATATAAATTACAGGAAGACTGGCAACAGATGTTAGCTCAGGGCTAATCCCCCAGCAAAGAAAAAAAACCCCAACGCCCCCCCAGCCCTGCCACAATACAGTGCAGAGTTAGAATTATGGAGGACTTTGTGGGAGAAACTGTTAATTGCTCCCCAATATCTGGTTGCCCTTTCTTCCACAATCAAAGAATCCCCAGTTTTTAACTAGGTCACATGGTTGCCCAGAATTAAGGCTGTATTTCTCAGCACCTCCTGTAATTAACTATGGCCACGTGACTAAGTTATAGCTAATGGGCTGCAAGCAGAATTGTAGCATGACAGCTTCTAGAAACCTTTCTTAAAGGACAGCTGACATATGCCCTTTGCTCCCTGTATTAATTAGAACTCTCCAGAGAAACAGAACCAACAGGATACACAGATATCAAAGGACATTTATTATGAGGAATTGGCTCCCACGATTATGGAGGCAAGGAAGCCCCACAATCTGCTGTCTGCAGACCCTTGAGATGCAGGAAAGCCAGTGATATAATTCAGTCTGAGTCCAAAGGCCTGAGGACCAGGGGAGCCAGTAGTGTCAGTCCTAGCCTGAGGCAGAAGACGAGAGGAGATGTCCCAGCGAACTCCTCCTTCCTCCATCTTTTGTTCTATTCAGGCCCTCAGCAGAATGGATGATGCCCACCCACTTTAGGGAGGGCAATTTACTTTACTGAGTTCACAGATTCAAATGCCAATCTCATTCAGAAACACCCTTACAGACACACCTAGAAATAATGTTTAATCTGGGCAGCCCACGGCCAGTCAAGTCGACACATAATCTCAACCATCATACTTCCCTTTGTCTCTGTCACTATTTCTATCCTTTTGCTTGTAACGTGGTGAGAGAGCTGGAGCTCTAGCTGCCTTCTTGGACTATGAGGATAAGGACCACACCAGTGGGATGGTAAAGCAGTAAACCAGAAGGAGTTTGAGTCCCTGGAGACTTAGAGGAATAGAGATCCTACAACATCCCTGAATTACTTACCTTCCAGACCTTTACACAAGACAGAGAAATATACCACTGTCTTAAGTCAGCAGTGTTACCATGGAGGTCTGCCTTTTAGTTAAACCTAAACCTTAGTGATACACACCCTTTTCCTTATGTTTACTTGAGCCTTCATGGTCCTTAGTCAATGGGTCTGTAGTCATTTCATCTTAGTGGGAAAACGCCAAACCTTGGTCCCTAGGATCACAAACTCAACACGTTGAGAACGATGTCTTTCTGTCTTCAGCAAGGAATGGAGACGTTCGAATGAATGCCAACGACTTCAATTCTCCAGCTGCTTCAGTTGGTTCCCAAGATAGTAGCCATGAGCTCCATGAGGCAATGCGACTTCATTTGTACGCTGCAGAGAGCATCGCTAATCCAAAAAATACACCTATCCTTCCCTTAAAGATGTCAGCTCTCTCCTGAAAACCTTGCTGCTAAGGGGAAAAAAACATTAGGTGAAAAAATTTTTCCATTGATTTTAATGGGAAAAATTATGATGCATTTCCTCCTGATCCAAGATACCCTAAACAGTACTCATAGATAGAAAAATATATTAATTGAACAATGAAAACAAGTTTATGTAACAAACAGCAATTAGAAAGTAAGTAAGTTGAGTCTGTAGGTAAAATGTAAAGAAGTTTACAGCACTTACCGAAAGAGGAAGGAAGGAGGAAGAAAGACTTGATAGTGGGGGTGCTGGCGCAGAAGGGGTTCTTCGGAAGGCACAGCCTTCTTTCCGCACCATTCAACGATTTCTCAGCATTTAGGGGGTTCACGGTGATCTTGCATCCAAACTTCACTACAAATAAAGTTATATCACAGAAAATACGTTGAGGGCAAAATAAAAGTAAATACGTGAGTCGTTCAAAAGGTGTAAAACCAGTGCGTGCGCACAGCCCACTGACGCGTCACGGGACATGCTTCCTCCTCCTTCCTCCACTGTGCAGTGTGCTTCGGGTTCATCCCCACGCGGCAACGACTCCTCTTCCTTCCATGTGATGTTCTCCGACTAGAAACTGCTGTGCCGAGTAGTAAGCTGGTGACTGTGTCTTTGCCTGAAACCATAAAGTCAAAATATTACTTCTTGCAGCATATGGCATTGGGTGAAAACATGGTCATACTGAAAAAAAAGAAGCCACTGTCTGAAAAGCGTGGAACCGTTCAAAGCCGTAATGGCAGCAGGTCATTAGCGAACGTCTGTGTGCGGGCTGCCGGTGTAGCTGAGGGGCGGGGGCAGGAAGAGGCAGCACCCAGACCTCCTTACAGGGTCTCACTGGGGGAGCCCGGACTGCAGGGGGAGCCCGGACTGCAGACGAGCCTCTGCACACCCGCCTCCCGGGCAGGGCCCGGGGCCCAAACTCCCTCCTGTGTTCCCCTTCAGCCGGATTTGAGGGACTCGGGTGTGTCTGGGCTGAAAGTGTTAGGGCTTCCACCAAGCTGCTGTGGATGTCCCCAGTCGGCGTTCGCTTGTGACTCTTAAAGAAACAGGCCTGAGGCCTGCTCTGACGGCCAGAGTCAGCTGAAGGGCTGACTCCGTTCAGGGAGGAATCGAGTCGCGTTGGGCAGCGAAAACCCCCTGGGAGAAAGAACAGGACGCTTCACCTGTGCCCGCTGCTGTGTCCCCGGTTCTTCTGAAATCTCCTGCATGCCGCGTCTGTTCTTATTCCCCTGGGCCCGCTGGAAGCCCAGCTAGGGGCAGCCAGGGCCAAAGGGCACGGGCTTCGGAGCTGGCCAGAAGGGCACTCGGCTCCCGCACTTCCTCCCCTGACCACATTCAAGTCTTCCCTCCCCTCCCGCCACCTCCCGCAACCTTCCTCCGCCCTCGCGTCCTCCTCGGATCCAATCACGCACGTTTCCTCTTAGCTGACGTCACCGGGCGCGAGCGTTCATCCGCGTCTCATCGGGAAGACTTTCCAGGGCTGGACTTGAACCCTGGAGCGCTCCCGGCACGTGTCTGTCCCTCCAGCGGTTCGGGTACTCTAGGAGACTCTTTCTCTGGCTCTTGCGCTGGCTCCCTGCTGCTGGCGCTCTCCCGGCCGTCTCACCGTCCCGTCGTCACCGTCCCGGGAGGAGGGCCGGCCCCGCAGTCGGCCTGTGGACTGCGGCGTGAGCGCCCGCGAGTTACGAGTCCTCCAACGGGCCCCGTGCTGCCAAGGCCAGTGAAGCCTGAGCGTCCGCTGCTCAGGGACAGAGAGGAGTCAGCTCGACCCAGAGGCCAGAGAGACCCCGGCTCCTCCGGGCCGTGACCTGGGGCCCCCGCCCTGTCCTGCGGCCCGCGGACTGCCCGACCTGACTGTAGGTACCACGCTGGCCGCTCTGCTGCCCCAGGACTCTGATTCTGGTCGCCGGGATCTCCTCCGGCACAGGGAGGAACTCCCACCCCAGCTCCATCCTCGGCCGCTGACTGAGCCGGGGCCCTGCCCGGCCCGTGGAGCCTCAGCGGCGGCTTGTTTTAGGAGAAGAGCAGCGGGACTGGGGCTGGGTCGGGAAGCGCCACGGCTTCTGCACAATAAACTGCCACTTTTTCAGAATCCTCCTCACCCCTTCCTCTCATCTGCAACCTTTCAGATTTTTTTATATGCTAATCTTTGATTCCTCTAGAATTTCTCTCGGTGTTTGGTGAGGGCCTTACGGAGCCCAGACCCAGAACGCGAGCCTGGTTCTGAGAACGTGGAGAGACGCAGGTCGCTGGAACTCGCTGTCGTGGGAAACAGCGGCCACTTGCCGCCGGGGCAGAGGGCTCGCGGGCAGCAGCGGCGGCCGCAGGAGGCAGCCCGGAGGAGCCGGCGCCCGTTCTCCTCCCGCTCCGCTCTCCCCCAGCGCCCCCACGGGCAGCACCGGCGGGCAGCCGGCCGGCCGAGACAGACGCGCTCGGTGTCCCAGCCCAGCGTCGCCGAGCGAGCGCAGGACGGCTCCGAAGCTGAGACAGTAGCCTAGGGATCCGCACGTGGACCCTCACATATTAAATGACGTATGTATTGGGGCCTATTTCTAGACTCTGTTCCAATGACCTATTTCTCCACCAACACTAAACTTTATTTTATTACTGTACTTTTGTACATTTTGGCATCTGGTAGGACTAGTTCCTCCTTGGTTTTTCCCCCAAAATTCCTGGCTATTCTGACACGTGTTTCTATATTATTATATTATATGTAATATATAGCTATATTTCTATGTGAATTAGAATTAATTTCTCAGTGACTGGAATCTCATTGAATTTCTATGTTAATTTAGGGGACTTGAGAAGTTTCCACTAATGAGATTTCTTATCCAACTTTTATCCAAATATTCCTTTGAGTTCTCTCAGTAGAGTATTATGCTTTTATTCACGTAAGTATTGTGGATTCTGAACTTTATTCTTAGGTATTTCCCCTCCAATTCATTGCTAATATACAAATTCTATCTTCCCTCATATTTTCTCCTGGTTACTATTTGTATGAAAAACTTGATTTTTGCATGTTAATTTCATAACCAGCTTCTTTGTTGAATTCTACTTTTTTTTTTTTTTTGAGGAAGATTAGCCCTGAGCTAACTCTGCCAATCCTCCCCTTTTTGCTGAGGAAGACTGGCCCTGAGCTAACATCCATGCCCATCTTCCTCTACTTTATATGTGGGACACCTACCACAGCACGGCTTTTGCCGAGCGGTGCCATGTCCACACCCGGGATCCAAACCGGCGAACTCTGGGCCTCCGAGAATCGGAAGGTGCGCACTTAACCGCTGCACCACCGGGCCGGCCCCCAAGTTCTATTTTTTTCTTTAATTGCTTTTCAATTGATTTTCCTGTTTTGTCCAGGTATAAAATTAATGGTATATGTTATCAGTAATAATAAATTATTCCCTCCTGTCTTCTATTTTCACTATTTTCTTTCCGTTCTCTGATTCAATGGCTGCTATTGTAACGGGTTGATTTCACTCTTCATTCCCGCGGTGCAGACGTTTTTGTTAGAGACATAGATTTAATTTTCTTAAAGAAGAACACACACTTTCCTATTTTATTAGAAGTTGTGTGAAGTCCATAAATTGATTTTTAACTTTTCAAATAACTTTGATGAATCTATTGAAATGATCACGTTGTTCCTCCCTTGACCTATGGATGTGGTGAATTATTCCAGTAAATATTCTTAAATTGTTTCACTTTTACATTTTTGAAATAAATCCACCTGGATATGGTTTGTTATTCTTTTAATGTGTTGCTGAATTCTACTGTATGAGTATATACACAGACACACACACACATTCACACGAGTGAGGTGGGGCTCTGGTTTTCTCCATTGTACCTTCTCTGTCCTGTTTCTCATGTTTCGCCATCACTGTTATGCTGGATTGGTTGAAGAAATTTGGAATATATCTTTCTCGCTGTATGCTCTGAAATAACTTAAACAGTGTTAAAGGCTTTCATTCCCCAAATATTTAATAAGACTCATCTCTCTGGGCCTGGAACATCTTAAGATGGTAACTGGAAATTTCTCAATTTCTTCTTAGGTAATCGGTGTTTTTAGGAGGTCTATCTCTTTAATGGTTAATTGGGTAATTTATTTTTTTTTAGAAAATAATTTTTTCCCTAAATTCTCAATTTTTTTCTGAGAGTGGAGAAAACTATTATAGAATTTCTCATTTTCTTGGCAATAGCGGTATGCATCATATTTGAGTTGGGTGGTGCCCCTGGATTGTGGAAGCCCTGGGGGATGGAGAGGAAGGGCGGGCTGAGCAGGTGGAGCCCTCCCCCCTCCAATCTCTCCCACCTCCATTCCGCCCCGGCCGCTGCCCCGCTTCCACGGAAGCAGACCCACTTTACATTTGGAGTTTCAGCTTAAAGATTTCATTGGGAATTCGGTCACTAGAATAAAAGCCTGAAAAATCACTGACCAAGAACTGTGAAGTTGAAATAATACATTTGTTTGAATACGTATAATAACATGAGAGTATGCCTGGCCCCCGAAGGAGTTTATCCATTCTGATCATTTTCATTTGGGAGATTTTAGGAATGGGTTCCTATATGATATAGCGCCATAGCAATAATTGTTCAGAAAGACTGATGACCTAGGTCAATGAGAAAGTTCCCATCTTGTCTCTTCTTGCTGTTAATGCATCTTGTTCTTTTTGAAAGCATGGGCCAGGAGAAGGGTGACTGACTTTGAAAGGCAAGGAATGTGAAGTTGGAGGGTGGGAGCAGAGGTAGCCACTGTTCCTAGAGAAAACAAATCATGCAATTTCTAACTTAACAGTTACCTCAGGATCATGTAATTTGTAATAGAAAAGGACATGGCCATCATTACTCAGGGGGAAAGGAAGTGAGTAGAGGACAGCTAACACGAAGGGGCCCTTTTTCAACTTTCTCTGCACCAGACTGATGTCAGGCACCCTGGGGAAATACAATTAGCTTAGCAGTGTCATCATTATTCCCAAGGTATTTTCAGAAATATCACATTCTTCCTATTGCTGGAATAGACTAGATGATGCTCTCGACATAGTTTAGTACCCGCCAGCTGGGTAATGCTGGGCGCTCTGGGCACAGGACGAAGAACTGGGGCTGTCTAGGCTGGAGGGAAACAGACTCAGGGACCAGAAGAACTGTCGTCACATGTCAGAAGGAGACAGATTAGACGCATTTCATGTGAAGGCATGAAGCTGGATCAGGACTGGGAGCAGCTCCTGGAGAGGATATTTTTTAGGCACAAGGCAAGGAAGAATTCGCTAGTAGGGCTGAATGCGACAGCTCGAATCTAGAAGTACTGAGTTCTTTGTCACTGGAGGTGTCCAAGCAGATGCTGGCGACCGGGGCCAGGGGCCGTGGAGAGGAACTCCATGCACCATGTAGGTAGGACTGAACGAGCAGACCTCTGAAGCCTTCGTCAGAAACGATGCTCCTGCATGGCTGGGCAAGTGTCTGAAGTTCGCTTGAGTGGCTGCTAGATGTCACTCTTGTGTATCTGCAATAGCAAGATTCTTTCTCTACCAGTGCAAAGTGGAACTCGGGAACATGACTAAGCAAAGACAGTGGAATTTTAATAACTAAATGTGCGTCCTTAGCTTATGCATTTTTAATAAGTGTAAGAAAACTTAAATATCGCTTGAAGCAAAAATTTCCAGCATCTATTCTCAAAATTGGATTCACTTTCTAAATTCTCTTTTTAAATGTCTTCCAATGTTCTCAAAATTTAATATAAGTTGCCATAAAACTGCTTCTATACATCCACTTCCATCTCTGAATCGTTCACCTGTCTTCTGTGTCTGTTGTTCTAGGGAGGACCTATGTCTTGCTCTTTTCTAGATGGCACATAGCACCGTGCAGCCTTCATAATACTACTGCTAATAATTACCGTTTACAAAGCACTCATTTCTAGTATCTTATCTGATCCAAGTAAAATCAAGTGGTTAGGTTTTAAAATATGAAGAAATAGCTGAGAGGAGCTGAGCAACCTGCCAAGGCCGTAGGTAAGAACTGCTTCCCAGTTCTCATTGTGCTGAACTATGGGGGTTCAGGAAATGCTGCAGACTTTCCATCTCTGGGACGTTCACAGTGTGTTCTACCATAGTGCAGGCTCTGAGAGTTCTGGAGCAGAGAAACCTGTCACGCCGCAGCCCCAAAGTCTTCAAATGTGTTTAACCCTTTCTTCCTCCCTTCCTCCCTCCTTCCTCTCTCCTTCCTCCCTCCCTCCCACCCTCTTTCCTCCCTTCCTCCTTCCTTCCTCCCTCCCTCCTTCCTCCCTCCCTCCTTCCTTCCTTACATCCTCCTTCCTTCCTTCCTCCCTCCCTTCTTTCTTCCTTCCTCCCTCTTTCCTTCCTCCCTCCCTCCTTCCTTCCTACCCCATTCCCTTCCTTGCCTTCCTTTCTTTCTTA